GCTGAACCAACTGTTGAAATCAATGGGAAGGCTCTGCTGTTTTCAGTAGGCATGGATCAGACACAGGGGATGCTGCCTCTCTCCCAGTCTGCCCTTTTGGTGGCCAGCATCGCCACAGACTTCAGAGGGTGAATTTTGACCTGGGAGTCAGACCTGGCTCTGCTCCCATCTGTGCCATTGCTCTGCTGGCTGAAATCTGGCAAGCATTCCCAACCTTGCTCTCCCTATCTACGCAGTGTAAAAATAAACAACAAAAACTTCTTGAACTCAATAGCTGAAAGCAGGTTAGACAAAGCCACGTAAACCGTCAGAATCCAGCTCTGCGAGATCCCAGCGCAGTCTCTAGTCTGTCTTCTGCCAGCTTCCAAGCACCACCTCCAGCAGAGTAAAATACAATAATTTATAGACATGTTTATAATCTGACAGCTTCATATGCATTAAACAGGGAGCAAAATTTCATGCTCACCTTTCTAATGCTGCAGGCTGGCACACTGGTGTTTTAACAGATTATCTCTTTCTGTTGCTTATTCCTCACCTAAAGTCCTGTTTCTAACACCTGTTACACTAGCTACCTTATAAATGGTTAGAGCGATCAATTCTCATGCTCCAGGGCACAAGCTGATAACCATCTGGACTGCAGAAGAAATCCACTCTCTGTTCCTTTCTATTCTTGTGCAGCAAACCCAAGCACAACGAAGAGGGGCTGATGGGATAACTTATACCTTGAAGTAGCCAGTAAACTTGTTTAGGTATGTTCAAGCACTTACACACGTAGACACACACACACATGCAGGAAAATATATTGGTCTGTTGAAGAGGAGTTTAAGCTAATGGTCTATAAAGAGTTCATTCCTTTTGACAGTTGCCCCTCAGGAAACTTAAGCTTGGTCAGGCTTTGTTGGAAAAACAGTGTTCTGCTCACCTAGTATAACCTTCTGCACATAAAACTACACAGTCAGCAATATTTGCATCTGACCACAAACCTCTGGTGGGGTTACAACTTTGTTTTTTGAAGAGATTTAGCCAACCTTAAGTCTTGCAAAGCACTCATATTCAGCATCTCCGCCTTTGCTTTGGAAGACAGGGTATGCATTTTACAGTATGAGTTGCTACATACGCTGTATGTAAAAGATACATCTAAAATGTAAAGTATAATGTACTGTAGGCTGTTTTCATCTTGACTCATTTTGGAACAGTCTGAAGACACAATTCCAATGCAAAGCGGGATGTGCAGTACCACTGAGAGCTGCTGTTGCATTTTAGTTTCGATATGAGGATGCAGTCACACAACAGCATGCATGACGGAAACAGCATTCACAGTAAGTTTCATATTGTTCATTTTGTTCCACTTTGGTTGGGCACTCCATCCTTACACCTGGCTGCATGGTAGGCAGGATGATGAGGCGAGAAGGGGGTAAAGACAGATCTCTTATTTATCCCTGCTTTCTGCAGGGCAGACAGAATTGTTCTCACTCCCATGCTGAAAACTACTTAGCGCAGTTGGGCAAACAGCAAAGGGGCCAGTGCATGCAAATCAGCA